ACTCTGTTTAAATGTTTATCTATGCCATTTTTAATCAGTCACTTCTTTTTTCCCATTGAAAAGTATGGCATTTTCAATAGATATACTTCTATAAATATAATTCAGCGGTACATAATCTATAAATCAGGTTAGTATTTTACAAGATAAAACTGCATACACCAGTTTTCATTTGTAATTTTTAAGCTCCTACTACGTGAATAAAAGTAGTAAAAATGAATGTGCATAAATGAACATAAATCATATTCAGAAGAAGGTTTTGTGGAGATTTTAGTAATTTAATAGTTGAATTCATGAATTAATTAAAGCTAGACCGTCATGGAAAACCTGGAAACGCTGAACGACCGTTTTGTCCTAGTATGGAACTCCTCAGCGCATTGCTGAGGAGTTTAATTGACTCATGAATTCAACTAATAACTATTGTATGTATTTTGGAAATACTTGATTCTCCACAAAATTACGAGGATATCGCTTTGAAATTTTTGATCTTGCAAGATTAAAAAAGGTTTTTATTTTAAAATAGTAGGGAGGATTAAGAGATAATTGTAACCCTCCAAATATGTTTAATGACTCTCAATATAATATAATATATTAGTATCATAGACTAAAGTTATGAACCGTGCACTTGACTACTTCTAATCAAGAATTCATAACTTTCTGCGAGCTTACCAGGGATACTTGATCCAACATTGAATGTATGTAGGCTATACAAAAAGACGAAGTTTGTAAATTGATTTACAGAATTCTGTCATATAAATAATTCTGCTTGTCAGTACAAGCATACACTTGATCAAGTCTAATACAGAAACATCGTACCATCTCAAGAGCAACTACACCTAAGTATTGTGAATTTATCTAAATTAAACTCAATTTTATTTTGATGATTTGTAATGCACTCTGAGACCATAATTTCACTCATTTCAAATAACGATCTACACATATATATGCAGTGCCGACACACTCAGTGAAAAGGAAATTTCTTGAATCCTAGAGATTGAAATTTATTCAACAGTGAAAGAGAACAGTTATCTTTACTTGTTAATAATCAGTATCTTTTAAAACTTCAGTTGAATAACTTAAGTGTTATATTGAAATATATAGTGAAGTACAAGTATTTCTGCAATGTATAATAGTTGTTAATAGTATTTCAATAAATAACTTCTATTTTACAATGAATTTATCCTGACTAGGAGACTTTTTTGTAATAAAGTAAACTACATATAATCTAGATTATTTTTTGTCAAAGTGATCATAGAACACAGTTTTACCAATTTTTTAATCAACATCATTAAATTAATTTGATAACTGCCCAAACTGTTTTTGTAAATTTCAAGTAAGTATTTTGATAAAAGCATTGTACAGCTGAGTTCATGAGTCATTTGAAGCTAGATCTCCATTAAAAGAAACCTAAAAGCACTGGACGGTGTTTCGTCCATATATGGGTCTCCTCAGCAGTGTATATCCACGATCCTGCACCATCTCATACTAGGACGAAACGACTGTCCAGTGCTTCAGGGTTTTCTATGGTGGTCTAGATTTAATCGACTCATGAATTCAACTATTAAATTATTAAAATCTTTACAAAACCCCTTCTGATAAAAACATTATGTTGAGCTTTAATGTTATATATATATATATATATATATATATATATATATATATATATATATATATATATATATATATATATATATATATATAATATATATATATATATATATATATATATATATATATATATATATATACATCGTTTTCTCTGGCTGTTTAAAATTGCCAGAATATACAGTTAGAATAAAACAAGATGGTTTATGATTTGTTTGTTTTTATCGTTTAACCAATATTTATCTCTCTTAATATTATATGATGTAAACTAATGTTTCGTTTATTTTTTTCAAAATAAATAAAGAAACAGATATATGTATTTTAGTTACGAAGGGAAAACGCATAAACGGAATATTTTTTACACATAATTAATAGTACGGATTTGTGGTAAACAAAAGTAAATCATTTTGCGCACAATAAAAATGCAATTTTTATTGGCTTTTAGCCAACAACAACAAAAAATGCTAACACCAGTTTTTTCTTTGTTTAGAATTAATTCAGCCATTCAGTAGCTTTTAAATGCTTGAATAGTTTATATTAGATAGTTTTTGTATGTTGTTGTACTAGGACAGGTTAAGTTTCAAAGTTTTACTTATTTCACTTAAAACACATAAAACTGAACATATTTGCTTATGATGATTGTTTGAACGTTACCAATTATTATATTTGAGAACTAAAATTATATAAAGACGGTTTACATTGTGAAATGATAGATGAATGACTACTGAAAGCAACTTCTGTTGATTGTTACATTTAGGTCAATGATATTTTGGTTATATAAAAACAAGATTCCATGGTATATTTTGTTTTCTAAAGCTCTATTTGGTATGTTAGACAACCTACATGATTTTAACTCAGCTCTCGTTTATTGGTACAAATGCACAAGTTGGAATTATTTCTATAAATATGTTTGGTACAAATACGATTAACTTGCTTATCGTTACGAATAGTGAATATTGAAACCATAAATCATATTGAAACCAAGATTTTAACTAAAAATACATACGTATCAGTTGCAAAACTGTATTAAATAGTTGAATAAACATTGGTAATCCAATTTTTACATGATTGTTTATACCAGCAACCATAGAATAATCCAAATTTTAATTAAATTAATAAGCACTATCTTTGAGTTGTTAGATAGATTATACCCAATGAATTTTATTATACCTGAGATACACACCATCTAGAAAAACTTGTAGTGGCTGTGCTTCGTTGACCAATCACCCTCATATCCGTTATCATATAATCCTCAACGGTGTTTGAAATGAGAAGGCAAAGAGAAGCAGCGACCACAGCTTTTATTAGCAGATAACTCAGACCACAAAGCAGAGAGACAAATGAGTGAGTCAGTGTATCGATAGTGTAGAGAGTGTAGATTTAAATGTACATGTATATATATATATATATATATATATATATATATATATATATATATAGAGAGAGAGAGAGAGAGAGAGAGAGAGAAATGAATGGATCGAATCAATTAAGTAGCTAATAATAAAGCTAGCAGAATGAATATATGCGTAGGCGGTAAGCAATGTTCAAGCATATATATTTCATACAAGCACAACAATGATAAAGGCACAATAAGTTGTTATAGTACGGATGACTCTGTCCCCTAAATAAGTTAAGAAAAGGGCTTGACCGAATTAAACGAGAACAAACACAATTGCACGTAAAGTGCTATAAACTCACAACTCAGCATCGATTACATCATCACATCACTTACATCCATTAAAATGATGATTTCAACTCAGTGGTTAAAAGTTTTTATTACGTTAAGGATTCTAGAAGCAAGTTCTTGCCCATATTAAATTATTCTTTAAATCTAATATATTACAGTTGTTAGAGTAACAAAATCACATCTGATTACAGTTGTCCAAGATAAATCAAAATGTTATGATGCTTAATTTATTTTATTCATTTACTGCTTGTATATTATAATATAAACTATATTTGCCTTGATTTATCTGTATTTCTTTACTAAAGAATACCATTATTAATAGTTCATACTGTTTTCTTTTCTTCTTTGAACTAGATACATGTATTAGACAATCCTTGTTATTATTGAATGCTTTTTAAATTAACTTTATTATTGTGTGTTGTAAATATGAAGTGTAATAAATCAAATAATATGACTTCATATATACAATATATACAGACTTAATGTTATATGTACGTGTGTTCAACCTGTTTTTCTATTTTGTTCTTGAAACTTAATATATAATTTTCACATATAATGACTTCTCTATACTTGGCGCTCAATTACTGTCAAACTATTCGTTCTAAATCTTGACGAATATTCGTATATATACTGTTGATAGTTTATAAAACATTTTCCATTGATATAAATAATTTCTTATAACTTTAAAACTGTTCGAGGTAACCTTCTTCTATAAATGTGAAGGTTATGAACTTATGTGTAATTTTTTTGGTTTGACATTAGTCATCCGGTTGACAAAATGTTAATAATACATAGTCAGTATTATTGTTAATCTATGATAAATCAAACAACAAGTGATGTTATTCTCTATTATTTTAGTGTAAAATGCATACGACTGGTTTGAAATCGATGAATCTATGTGTTTTCTAACATATAAGCTTCTAGCTCAGATATTTTTTAATAATGATGATAAGTATTTAATGTTAAATATCAAGATTTTCGAACAATGAAAAGGCTTATAAGTTAGTTCAATTATAGAATTTGCAAACACAAGCAGTACTCAATGAGTTACGATCTCAGATTTACAAAACTAACTAGCTTTACAGCTTTGCTCGTAACATATCAACAGCTGTTTATTTTTACACATGTGTTTGCTCGATATTTTGTCACAAAGTAACGCTAGTCGACTTTCTTGTATTTCTTTTTACTTTTATTATCAGTCCATAAATAACAGAAAGTCTCAATTTTGACATTGATTTATCACTGGGCAGCGATTAATATTGTATTTGTGTAGCCCTTAGAGTCGATCGGACTCTATCAATCAAGCTGTCCTTCGATTGATATAGTGGGGCTTGCTAGTCAGTGATAAATACTTTAATCAGTCGCAGCCAAAATAGCTCAACATCTCGGACTGTGGCTCTGGATGACGTGGGTTATTATACTCAAAGGCGCATCAATTCATTCAAGACTACAGACACACCTTACTGATGAGTACCAACTAGCACTGAACCTAGGTCAAACCACTTAGTAGGTTAAGCTTTTTGATATATTTCTCAGTGAAATTCAGCTTTTTGTCAATGACTAACCAACGATAAAATTTGTATGAAATTAATTTTGCGATCTCCTGATCTTATTTTATACTCATAATTACTATACAAATATCTTTCGATTTTAGACCCTACTTCCATAAAATCTTCTCCGAATTGCATTGACTATAATTCTATTTCACAGAATGAGGACAGGTCAAGTAACATTGGTAAGTTAATCAATTATGTACTGTTGTCATTGTATAATGTCATATATTTGCTGTAATTTTGTCAGTATAATTTCTTTTATTTCAACAATATTACAGTATGAGTTTATTAAAAATATTCAACACACGAAATCCCTATATTGTCATACATTTATATAGTTCTGTGAATAATAACGAACTCAAGACTAAATAGTTTGTTGTTAATCCGAAAGAAAAGTTATGGTAAACATACATTATACATAATGAGGTATAAATATGTAAACATAACTTTTTGTTGTTAGGCACAGTGAATCGAAATCAAAACTTCATATCAATACGTTTGTATTAATTAGAAGGCTGAGTTCATAATAATTATTTCCTTGAATATTGGTGGGGTATATATTTATTATATGAGAAGCCAAATGTACTAATAATAGTATTTCATTACAAATTATTAACGTTAGTCAATTAATAAACTTTTAATAATGGATAAACATCTATTTTAACATAAAATACTTTGTTTTTGAGGATCATATCCATAATCTTACATGATTGCACATCAATTTCTTTCTTCTCTTAATTATTCTATGTCTCTCGTTTCAACTGAAGACAAATTCAAGACTCATTTAATAATCCTAAATTATTTTCCTGTATATTTTAGAATCTACATACATATTAAAGTTTTTTAACTAACCTAACATATATATATATATATATATATATATATATATATATATATATATATCATTCTGACCAATCCTACAGACATTTGACCTCAATACTAACAGTATAAAATTAAGTTGTCATTTACCTTATAGAATAGCAAATATTTTCTACATTTCTAAAATATACAAAACACAAACATAAACATTAATGAATACCTATTCATTTTACGTTGGATACATGAAAAAAAATGGAATGAAGGAAAAAAAACAAATACCATAAATTCCTCTGACGTGAATCATCTCAATATAAATGCAAATTATCGATTAGTTGCCTTAAGAAACCAATGTACATACTTGTTTTCATACAAGTTATATATAAAATAGAAATTACTTTTATCTTACAAAGATACTCACTTGGTATTGTTTGGCTTGTATCTTCCCATTGAGGTTTAAGACTGCAATTGATCAGTCTGTTATTGGCATATGTGCATACTGTGCTTATGCCTCGATATTACCTTAATTCACAAGCTATTTGTAAGCAATAATGGATAGTGGCTGGCAGTGAAGTTGCAGGTACATCGAGGTGACGAGTCCCAAATAGGACGAAACGCGCGTCCTGGATTCCACTGCCAGTCACTATCCATCATCGCTTACAAAGATACTTTACAATTCACATTTTATTATATTTCAAAGTTTCATTTATTCTATAAACGGATAGATTAGAAAGAAACTGATTTTGTTTTTTTGTTTTGTTCATTTTCCATTACTTCACTACAAAACTATGTGTAATAATTAGAAACAAATTAATGTTTTTATTTATATTTGTTAAAGTAATATAGTTGATCATAAGATAATAGTTAGATTGTGTCACCTTTGTATAAAGTAGGTGAGATAACATATTTCCATCTTTAAAATAAATATCTTAATTTATGTTCCTCTAGGAGATCAAATCAATATAATTTGTTTTATTTTTGTATTGATCGTTTGAATCTTCCTATTGATGTTCAGGATTGCAAATGATCAGTCTCTTATTGGCATATATGTGCATCTTGTACAGATTGAAACGATATTGCCTTAAATCACAAGCATTATTACAAGTTAGTGGTTATCTAGACCCAGTAACTAAGTGGATAAAGTGGTGGGGTCCAAAGCGAACGGTAATGAGTTCGAGTCCTGGGTGGAACATCATCTCTGGGAGGCAGATACATCTAGCTCACAAGTCTTGAATAGAACGAAACACGCATTCTGAAATTCACTGCTAGTCACCAACCATCTCCGCTTACAACATAATATGTGTTTAGTTTGTTATTTTGTACCATATAAACATATACAGTAATAGTTCTCAAAAATAAATAAATCAGCTGTATAACTATATGAAGTGTTGAATATAGTTATTTAGATCGTATCTGAATCCCATGAAAACTAGTAATAAAGATTATGCTTATAGGAATAATCATTCTGATCGATTCTAATAAGCGGTCTGTTGTTTATTTATCTGGAAACATTTTACCGTATAATTAAATAATTCTTTAAAAATATCCAATTATTTTAGCTAGAATTTTATGGGTCTGGAAATTCTATAGAAGTTAACTAACCAAACAGGAATTTTAAAATTAAACTATGAGTATTTACCAAGATGAAATACCAATTTCTACTTGGTTAATTCATTAAATGTTATTCCTTTAGATATAGTGAAACAAGTCTATAAATATGTATATATAAATACAATGAATATTTAGTGTTATTGTTTTAACTGTTATGATTGAATACTATTTTACTTTTGTGAAAGCAAATCCCTATGTAGCAATATGCAGAGATATGTAAATAATTTTTTCGTTTTATAAAAGCACTCAGAAAAAAACAATAAATGATTAAGTTATTTAGGAATTTACATTCAGCATTAAAACAGGAAAGGTGTATTACACAAGTTAATCACTTTCACTTCGTTTCAGTAGTTGAGATCATGAGTCAGTTGAAGCTAGACCACCATGGAAAATCTGGAACCACTCCAAGGCCGTTTCGTCCTAGTATGGAACTTTTCAGCAGCGCGCATCCACGACCCCGCCCCCCACGAGATTCTAACCCAGGGCCTATCAGCCTCGTGCACGAGCGTTTAACCACTAGACCACTGAGCCGGCATCCAACAGTGTCAATGTCAAACTTTAACTAATCCATGAAATTGAGCGACACATCCACCATTGTCATCAGTGAGTTACTATCTCACAACTGACCCGGTTGGACTCCACTGGTCACTACTTCTCACTACAACACCAGGATACACCTGTTGAAGCCAGTCACTAGTGAGCGTATGTTGATTAGTATCAGGAGGGGTTTTGTGGAGACTAGTAATTTCAATAGTTGAGATCACGAGTCAATTGATGCTACATCACTTCGTTATTGATTTACAAAAAAATATGTGGAAATACTCACAAATATTTCACTTCAATTAGAATAGACTGGTTATAGGATTATCATTTGAACGAGGAGGTTTTCCATACGGCAAGGCGATTTGTCGCAAATATATACCCTATGATGATTATATGAAAAAAATAAGCCGTTTCTGTTTTTCTATCAAGATATTATTCTGACACAGATGTTTCAGATAACTGTCTTTTTTGTTTGGCTTTTATGTTTTTAGATCATGAACATTCTCCATCTATTGTTTATTCAATCTACCGAAAGTTATGGTAAGTAATCACTTAGTGAAATATTTATTCACGAAATATTTACTAACATAATGAATAAAATTTAAAATAATTTAACATACTATTGATAATGTGATACATATCTTATAGATCACTTAATTACACTGAAAACTAAGACTTGATAAGTAAGTTTAATTGTCTGTTGCCATATTAAAAAATCACTCATAGGCTCATTGTTCACACTTAGCAGTTCATTGATATCAATGTAACAGAATTATAAGTAACATTACCTATTTCCATCATTTACAGCTTCTTTCATTCTATTGTATAAAACACCGTTTACAAATCCTGTGTTAAGATGAAAAAAAGCTGTTTAATGATTCTTAATTTTCACTGGTATTGTTATGATGCCAATCTGTAATAGAAGTCATTTATGAATAATGAAGATTTATTATTAATCATCTAGTTAATAATAAATGTAGTTTCAAACAAACATTTTTTTCCATACAAAGTAAATGCCAAATGATACTTTTAGTTTAATCATGAAAAGTACAAAACATATTATCTATTTGATTTTTTTTGCATAAATAATTACTTCATTAAATTCACTTAGTATTGTTTGCTTGTATCTTCCCATTGTTGTTTAGGACTTCAACTGTATGTGCAACCTGTACGGATTGCCTTAATATTGCCTTAAGTCACAATCTCTATAAGCATCAACTCTGGGATGCAAGTACATCCAGCTAACGAGTCCCAAATAGACTCCACTGCTAGCCACTATCTAATTACTTTAATTAGCTATTGAGATAATCTTTTCTAATTCGTTCTCTTAGATTTCAAAATGTTTATAATAGAGTCCGTTTTGTTTTGTTGAGTTAATACGAGCAATTTATTTGTCTATTTTTGTTATAGTTTTATCTAACCAAAATATTACAATTCCTAATGCGAAAGATCTTAGATTTTGTGCTGAGAGTATAATTTATGGACGACTTTTGAGCGACGCTAAAGTGGTCTTGACAATGTCCACCTACTGCCTATGGCTAAATTAGGGTTTTAAATCTCTGTGATTGTGATTTGCATTTGATGGTTAAGGTTAAGAATTAGATTTAGGGTTTTTATCACGAACTGACTTCAGCAAAAATGCGAAGATGCTATTTAGCCAAATGGATAAAAAATTCCGCACTGAAATCCAAGATCTGTTATCGTAAATATCAATGGTTCATTCGTGAATACACAAATAAATAAAAACTATTCCTTTATCGACACTAAACAGATGTACAAACAAGATTTTGATAGAAATATAAAGTATATTTCAGTTTAAAATCACTCCATCAAAACTAGCTAAAATTTTTAAATCTAGTCTACCGTCAAAATCTACTACTAAAATGTCAAGTTTGTAGTTTTAAAAAAACTATTTTGGCGTCATGTACAAAAATAGATTAAACTAGTTATAAAACTTTTAAACTGCTAGGGAAATTGTTGAATCACTTTTTGTCTACAACAATCATTTGATGTTCGATTTGAGAACTAGTAGCTGCGATTAACATTGATTCTTTCAATATATGCATTTTGAAGAGGAATAATACAATGTTACTTGACTACAGATATGTAATCTATTGACTTAACTATTATACACCAATCCATGTACTATAGATATTAATTGTTTCGATAAAAATTCATTTATAGCTGTTTTAGAAGGTAAACAAATTGTGAAGAAAGTTTATTCAAAACGCCAACCAATAGTACTAACAGCTGCAGCTGGTTTTATGTCACATACAGACAGTATTGACACAATGAATAATAGTAATGTTAATCGTAGTATATTTAATAATGGGAATGGTTTCTCTACTATTCATCATGTTCCGAAAACTCAAGTGGTGAATACATCCCACCAAATTTTATTACTGGAGCACATTTAGCGCCTGCACACTCTATATTCTCAGATATTAATAAAGAAAACTATACAAAATGGTCATTTTCTACTACATTTAATCCATCAACTACATCTCAGTTAAATGAAGAAGTCCACGAAGATACACTAACAGATTTTCCGTTGTACAAGCAACAAAATCAAACTGAGGAAGAGATTCATTCATTTGGTGGGGGGAATCAACGACAAATTATGGAAGATGATAATGAATTGCCACAAATTCATTCAGACTACCTTTATGATTCAGATTATGATTTACCGGAAGAAATGAACAAATATCAAGGTAATGAATAATAAACAGCTATATATATTAATTTTCTAAGTTGATTGACAAACCTATCACTTATTAGTGTCTGATTTCTAAATGAATATTCAGGGATTCCGTAAATTAAGTGTCGTAAAGTAAGAATGAACAACATCTAATTTTATACCTCTTTATGACATGTAAAGAACAGTAAATAACTTGGTGAATATGTTTTGTTTAGGTAATTTGGATTTAACACAATTATTATATGTTCGATGTTTCTTTGATTTTGATATACCATTAGGTAGTGAGTGTAGAGCTTTAAACTGGTAAAAGAGATCTGTTTATTTTCAAATACCTGATTATACGAAGCAAATATAGTTACCAACTATAAGTGCCAAGAATGATTGGATATCTCAGTTGCTCTGTTCATCATGTAAATTTATGACTATGTTGAAACTCTTCATCAATACCCAAGTTGAATTCATATGGATTTTCTAATTAAAATGATAATATAATATTCCAACTATCTGAAATTTGCATAAGTTTTATACTAATGGCTTTTACAAATACCCATATAACCTCTTCACAAATACATCAATTTTTCTTTATTGATGAGTTAGTTTAGTAGAAAATGCATAAATTTTGGATTTTTTATTAAAATCAAAGAAATTTCACAATAGTTTGTCCAATTTTCTTATTAACATCTTATTGCCTTTGTAGAACCATGCTTAAGTTACTGTGATAACTACTATAACATTAGCTCTCATAGTCAGAATGACATTTTGGACATGGAACATAATTTCTGGAGCTATAAATAATCTGTGTACAATTCATAAAACATATAACTTTTCGTTTCACTTATTACCTAAGTACTTTTAATATAGTGGTAAAAAATACGAGATTGATTAGTTAAATGATTAACCACATACAACTATTCCTTTTATTAATAATCAAGTAATTTGTGTTACACCGGAGTGTCTCTATTTTCGTATGTACAAACTGTATGGATATAATGAAATCTAAGGGCTGTATTTTGAATTTATCCAAAAATTATCAGTTCAACTAATCTACATTTTAGTGTGAATAGCTTGGTGAATCTAACATATGGACATATATAGGTGAATTACAATGCTAAATTATTAAATACTTTTGCTTGTAATGTGTAATGAATCATCTGTATAAACACTGGAACCCAATCTTCTTATTCAATAGGGATAATTAAAAATTTTGAAATATAAAGGAAACTACTGCTTTACAAGTTAGTACTACAATTATAATAGTATCACAAAAGTTAAAAATCTATTTTAAAATACAAACGAGCTCTAACGTTAGTAACATCATGATAAACCATCATACTACAATTAGTAACATACAGACAGAAACGACAAAACTTGTTTTTTTGATTTCCATTATTTGTAAAACTATATTTAACTAAAAACCATAAAACTATAATAATATAGAAATAATCGTATAAATGAGTTTTATGCGACTTCATGTATGACTAAAAAAGAAACTCTAATTCAAACATTTCAATACTTATGTCTAATATAATGATAATATCCATGACCTAAATGCTAAAACAGATGGATTATTTAATTAATAGATATTTACCTGAATTAATTTCGACCATAAAAATCAATCCTAGGTCATAATTATCTTAGTAGATGCTTGTTATCGTTATAATTTGACACGCCCAAAAACCGAAGATCAATATGTTGAAATTTTTTCTTAAGAAGAGTGTTGAGTGTTTTGTTTACTGTCATTTGACATCATCAAACTGAATAAGATTATCTCTTCTCCTCAGCCACCTGCTAAAATTTTATTTCAGTGCTTTAGTCACGCTTTAAGTTAAAAAATTTTTATGACTGCTAAGCAACAGTGTTACTAATTTTTCTACACTTTTGCTAGTTGTAATATCATCAGATATGGATCCTCCGTATTCTATGGACCAACCAAATGGGGCTGCTATTAACTCGTCTAAATTTTCATGGTCATATAATAAAGATTATGATCAACCCATGGAGAATAAAGTGCAATTTAAGCAGAATATCTATCTAGATGATCAACAAAAGAAAGAAGAAGCACGTCCAGTTTATCATTCACCAGTTCGCTGGGCAATAAGATCAATAGCTACAAATGGACAACCAAGACACATTGCTTGTAGTCAACCTTTAGATAGAGGAGTTGGTTCTAATGAATTATCTTCTTGGTACTATGATTCGAATGATGGGAGATGTCGCTGGTTTGGGTATCGTGGATATGGTGGGAATGCTAATAGATTTTACAGCCGCACAGCTTGCGAAGAATTATGCGTTCGAGATAATCACAATTTATGTGAGGTATGTAAAATTGTGCAGCATTTTGACTTCAGTTAACCTTATGATATAATTTTTAAAATGGTGGCACCATTCATATCTTCTTTACAAGGCATACCAAGTGAAGACTAAACCTGCACAAACGGTGCAAAATGTCATGATTTATCTTATCATTTATAAACATATCATTAAAATCACTTCTAGCCATAAACTACCAATAAATTTTCTGATGATTAGCCCATTTATACCCACTCTTCTAATAAACAAGAGAATAAATCACATGTATCATCTTAATTGTTGTATGATTGTAGACTTTGATAATTTATTCATCCTTATTCATAGTTATCAATCTGATGTTTGTAAGGTTAGCATTTATTATCACGGACCCTAAATAAGTGATGTATAGTCAAACTATTGTTTCTATGCCAGCTATATTTTACTTTGGTGCTGTTATGCACTGTAACTTTTCTAGTTTATTATGTCTACTTGTTCAAAAGCAATGGAGAGAGTTACTTGAAACGAGTAGATTTTATTTTCAAAGCTAGATTCACGAGTCAATCGGAGCTGGACCACTGGACGACTGTTTCGTCCTTGTATTGGACTCCTCAGCAGTATTTAGATTGACTCGTGAATTCAACTATAAAATTACTACAATCTCCACAAATCCCTAAAATAGACTCTACTTTGGCAAATCTGTTATGATTTGCTAACCTCTTCGTACGAAATTCCCACATATCTTTGCCGATAATTAAACTTCATGTAGATATAGTCTGTAAGATTGTATAATACAATTTAATGATGAAACCTTGAACCTCAATGATGGAATGAAAATAATTTTGTTTATTTAGCCTACACACTAAACATTCCATCATACAAACGTTAAATAGGAAAATTGATATGCCAATGACTAATATATTTTTGTTGTCAGTATAAATTATGCATAAATTATTTCACTGAATCAATATGAACTAGTTGATTTTCTTAATATTCAATGAATAGAGACCGTGTATACTGGTACATTATTTTAAACAATCCCTATTTATTCTATCATACAGATAGTCGTTTTATTTTTAATTATAAATCATCATCGAGTTTCACAAATCGACAAATTTTCACTCAGTACTTCTAGAGGTTGTCTAATACAGAATTTTATCAGAAGGGGTTTGTGGAGATTTTAGAAATTTTCACAGATTGAAACCATGAGTCAGTTGAAGCTAGACCACCATGAAAACCTGGAAGCACTGGACGGCCGTTTCGTCCTAGTCCGGGACTCTTCAGCGGTGCGCATTCACGAACCCGCCCCCCGCGTGATTCGAACCCAGGACCTACTGGCTTCGCACGCGAGCACTTGACCATTAGACCACTGAGCCGTTGGATGCTCAGTGGGTCCTGGGTTCGGATCCCGCGCGGTGCGAGATCGTGGATGCGCACTGTTGAGGAGTCCCATACTAGGACAAAACGGCCGTCCAGTGCTTCGAGGTTTTCCATGGTGGTCTAGCTTCAATTGACTCATGATTTCAATCTGTGATAATACAGATTTTATCATGTAGTTATTTATTATTTAGTGGGGCCTATATCTGACTTCAATTAGATTGTACGAATGATTGTTACCGAAATATATATCCTGACTATTCTCTTATATGATTATAGATTTAAATCGAGTTGGTGAATAACGGAATTAAATAAGTCGAATACGATAATTGATTTTTGAATACATATATCTTATACACTCACTGATAAGTGAATAATTAACAAGGTCAAAACGTGACTCAAGAAGAGTGGATAAATTAGCCCATTCAACAGCTTATTATTTTTCAACACATAAATATCGGTACAAGAGGGCACCAAATATATATGCGCCACACCATATTTGTGTGTGTGTGGGCTGTGATACTGCCCGAGTGCCCATACCGAAGCCGGTGGTTTTCTTAGGGGCCACACCCCGAGCCTTTGACCTAAAGGTCTGACCCACAAGACAGTGGAGCATGGGAAGGAGATGCAGTCCCATGGTAGCCGGTGACCAGCGATTGGTTCATGCGCCATTTGTTCCCGCAGGATACTGGAGCCCATGTGCACCATTGGTTTGGGATCCGGTTAAAGCGCCGGACATTCGCTTTTCGTCCTCTCATTTTCGTAAACAACACCCCCGCCACGAGAAGGCAATGAAAAAATAATAATAAGCCCTTTAATGGGCTAATTTATCCAAGAGCTTGTTACTATTATTTTTTTTCATTGCCTTCTCGTAGCGTGGGTGTTGTTTACGTGACTCAAGAAGAGTGGATAAATTAGCCCATTCAAGAGCCAGAATAAGGTATATGGACTTAACATAGCAAGTAACACTACATTCATTATCATAGCGTTTACCCAAAAAATCTGTTTTTTAAGTTCAGTTTATTTGATGACTACAGTTCATAATTCACACCATAAAATTAATGAGTTCAAAAATGAAATTTTACATTTGTGAATGAGATTAAGTAGTCCGAAATTCATTTTCATTCCAGTATAATATCTAGCACAAACCAAATGAGACTAACAATGTATTAGTTATGCATTTTTCTTGTATTCAGTACTATTGTAATTGACTGTTCATGATTCTAAATGAGGTGAAATTCAAAATATCATATTACCTCAATGTGACTGTCATACAATTCAGATATCCAATGGAAGTTTAATACTAAAACCGATCTAACTTCAAATAGTTAAAGTTCCAAAGTTATAACATGGTTGAAATATTGATTCCACTTGTTTTTAGCTGTAATACTCCGATCATTAAAATGGTAGTATTTATAAAACGTGATTTTCCCTTCAAATTACAAGTCTTTCTTAAACAAATAAATGACAATAACAATTGTGTTGATTTTATGATTAATTAAAAGAACAAAATAGCTTCTTTTATTATTTCCCCCCCTCCACCATGATACAACAACATTTATAAAACATACTAATCTGAAGTTAAGTGGAAAATAATTTTGTAACTAACCAAGTAGATTTTAAGTCTATTCATTCGATAAGAACAAAACGTAAGTGCTTTACGTTAAGTATACTCTCTTTTTCCATAGTTAATTAGAATACTCGTAGATGAGCTAACCATTTATTTATATTTTACCAATATTATATATTTACATGTTACTTATGTAATATAAAATATTTATTTTGATCTCAGTTTGCCAAATGTCCAAAATCAATCACAACCTGTGAACTTGTTGGTGATCAGTCATGCAAAGTTTACAAACAACAACATTCTAAATCATGGGAAGCTGAATGTCCACCAGATCAACCAGTATGTGTTACTAAACGAAATACGAGAATGGCACCAGGTAAATTGATGTTTATTTCTTCTATTCACAAAAGTATTTGATGGATTATTTGAATTCGTTTAGTTTACAACAGTTTCTGACGTATATGTAAAGAAATAAACATTGAAAAAACAAATTAATATGGAATTAATAACTTTCTTAAAATGGTTATTATTTTAATTTAATAAATCCGTTGAAGTCTAAAGTGAATTATAAAAGATAATTATATATAAATAATGCCATTAGTAACTACACATTTTGTTCAGTGAAACGGTCACTTAAACTCTTCACTACGTAGGTCATATTTAATCTCTTGTTAAACAATATGGTGAGATATGATCTTGATTTCATGACACACTGAGTTCTCTCAACTGAACTTGTCAATTAAACTCAAGTTGAGTTCCACTACGCCAAAATTTACTGTAGGCAAATATGAGGATCTTATCTTAATGAAATAATAGCAATCACTAGAAAGCCTATTTATAAGTTAGGTTTCGTGCTCAATGACTATCATCAAAAAGGGATATCCTCATTACTTAAGGCAGTTAGTGTTTCTTATGGGACCTGGAGCCATGTGATTCAGTGACATAGTCAGAAATGTTGCCTGTGAGTTTACCAATGTAATGTTGTACGACTTTGTTTTTTTTACGATGAGTAATCAATTAGTTTAGTAGTGAGAATTTGCTTTCAATTATTTTGGCTTTACTAATTAAAAAGTGTTACTCAACTCCATGCTCTTCCATAGTTAACAAGCATATTATTTTCATTTTAATTCTACTGAATTTCTCCTAATAGAAATCCTGTTTTGCACAATTTTATTAATAACGAATTACGTAATTTTAGTCATTGGACATTTATGATTATGGTCTGAAAGTTAAGTGTTCTCGCGAAGACTTGAACGTTCTGGGTTTGATTTTCAGTGTGGTCATGAATGCGTACATCTGAGAAGTACCATTTCGGTATGAAATAGCTGCTCTGTACTTCCTGATTTTTAGTAATTGTTTATCTTCAGTCAATTCACGATGTAAAACTGCAGTGAACAGAACACAGGTTGGGACAATCGAATGTATTTAACACAAAATTACAGGACTTCTTAATAAAATCTAACAATCATAAAGTAAATGCTTAATTTGCAAAAGGTCCATCAATTGTCTCAAATGGTTCAGACTTCATTGTCCTTTCATTTTCATACAAATTGCATTTTGTTTCTATTCTTTACAATTCGATCCTCTTGTCTCTCTGCTGTCAGACCTTCTGTTCACAACTAACATCATATACTACTTATGTCAATATAAGTAGCACACACCACAAAACTATCAATATATGACCCTATTTAGATAACAAATTGATTTTATCGTCATAAATTACAGACTTGCATTAAGAGCTCATTGATACATACTACATTTTGCTTAAGATTTTTTTAAAAACTCATTTTTTTCATTTCGTCCTTAGATATTGAATTTGAAAATGTTCCATCTGAGTGTAAACAACCACCTGATGCAGGATCATGTCAAATAAAAAATCCATCACAAAATTTTTTCTATGATCTAGAAAATAATGATTGTACATCATTTTATTTTCATGAATGTGGTGGAAATGATAATCGATTTGTTACAAAATCTGAATGTATGAGTCATTGTTCACCTTGAATAAAATAAATTTTCAATATCATCTTTGTTTTACATTATCTTCTTTTCTTCAACATTACCATAATCATTCTTATTAACCATGCAAGCAAAAAAACAAACATAATCAATTTCGTTCACATTTTTCACCTTCTCATAGTAGTTATCAACAGAAATGGTATCAGTTTCACTTTTCATTATTATTATTATTATTATTATTATTATTAATGCTATCATCCAAAGAAATCTCATTTTCATGAATAGCCATACTAGTAATATATATATATATATATATATTATATATATATATATATATAAATACTAGTAATTATATATATTTTTTGAGAATAAACAAACAAATAGCATTAACATAATTTCTAATAATAAATGGATAGTGATAACATTTTCTGATTGTTCTTCTTCTCTGTCGTCGTCGTCGTCTTCAATAAACTGCTTAAATTGATTGGTTTTAATTAATTGTAATAATTACTTAACTGAATCAAATGATTATCATAGTGATAATTGTTTTGTTTTTCTTATGCTTACATAAACATTATTAATACTATGCATATATATGTATTCATACTTTTCAATCCTTTTTCTCTGTCCTAATAAAATATTAAGGAGAATTAAAAAGTGATTTTTTTGGGAGAAAAATGATTTTAAAACGTTTTATTTTTTGTAAGTTTGTTACAAACTATATTCAATATCGGCTCAATATATGAATTGATATAGATAAACAAACTACTGTAGCCCATAGAGTACTAAATGTATATATCATCACTGTTTGAAACATCTTAATAGTACTCATTCAAAAGTCCAAATAGGATAAATCCGAACATTCTTCAAACTTTTAGTAAGCAAGATAACCTTGAAACATTATGACAGAATCTAATGGTCTATACTTCATAAGATATTTCAGTAAATAATAGTCCTATGTTCGTCAGTAAATAGATTTAAGATGGGTTTACTGAACTTTTTAGCGGTGAACTATGACAAAGTCAACCAAATCAATAGTGAGATATTAGTTTATTAACAACACTGATTGATTGGATTTGTAAACAGTGACTGGTGGACTCCGGTTTATTGATTTGCAACTAAAGCCCTTAGCCATGAGTTCTGAATGTTATGGTTTTAATCCTAATGGCCATTGTCAACCCATATTCCTGACGAGTCTTCGTCTAAGTGATAACAACTACAGATCCATCATTTTTGATTGTTCTCTAAATGGTCTTATTTTTCAAGACAAATATTCTTTAACTTACACAAATTTTTCCACTAATTATCTAAGTAAATAACAAAATGAAAAACTTTTTTGACATAATTAATATTTATCTAATACGTAAAATAACTAAAAATACTCTTTACAACTTTAAAACGATCATTCTTATGTTTCGCCCTTATCATTAGGTGCATATACCAGTAATTTAAGTCTTACTTCGAGTTAATTTGAAGGCATGTTTAGCCAGATCAACTTTTTGTGCGTTCAATCATGATTCCAACTATTCAAATTTCTAAAAATCTCCACAAAACCCCTTGTAATAATAATCATCTGCTCACTAGTGACTGACTTCAAGAGGCATTTCCTGGAGTTCTAGTAAGAAGCCGTTACCAGTGGAATTCAGCCAGGTCTGTTGTGAGATATCAACTCACTGAAGACAATGGTGTACGGTGGTGCAATTTCGTGGATTGGTTGAAGTTAGACATTAACACCTTTGTGTGCCAGTCAGCTCAGTGGTCTGATGGTTAAGCTCTCTCGCGCAAGACTGATAGGTCCTGGGTTCGAATCTCGCTGGGGCTGGGGTCATGGATACGATGATTTTGTCAAGTTTCTACTTCCTGAACCCTTAAAAGATATTAGCAAACTGTACTATGTTGTTTAGTATTTGAATTTCAATATTCGATCCTGCCTTATGTTTGGAGTTACTTTACAGCTAAACAACAAACAAGCTGACCAATCACCATAACATTTTTCGAATGAAATTAAAAGTTCTGATAATAAAACTATTATTGGCACTATTCAATATATTTTCATCAACAAACCTAGAAATTTTATTATGAATTTCTTAAGGTCATATGCAAAAATGATAAAGGGCAAAGCCATTTTGTTGTTTATGTTAATGTTTTCTAAATATTATTATCATGATACAAGTATTTGAATTAATGTACAATTACTTATATCAGAGTAAACAAGGATAAACATTTTAACATGTTTTAAGTTATACATAAAAGAATAGAGATAATTATCCAAATTGTGTCAAACACGTGACTCGTAATATTAATCACATAAACATGAAATAACTTTTACACAAAATATCTAGAAAACATCATATCTACACCTATACCAGCTTCTCAGCTCATAGATCAGAATGCTCTTAAAATTGGTCAGTATAACACAGTCAACTAACAAAGTAATTGATAAAAGTTAACAAATATTCGAAGATTTGGTTGATCATATCTCATGTAACCCATGAAGAATGTTTACTAATTTAGGACTTAATGTTCATTACGTACAAAACTCTTATGATTTATTAGCGAAATGGCTTTAATAATTATTATTATTATGGTTAAGATCTCTATACATTACTGTTTACAGAAAGCGATAAACACTTGTCTAAGATCTATTAGCTTTATTGAAAATGTATAATTTCAAACTAATTATCTAAATATTGCTTCCTAAGATAATATCTTTTCTTACTATTAATAATGAACTATTTAGTAGTCATATGTAAATGATAAACTCTATAAAAAGATCTGTATAAAGTTTTATAAAAAATCTTATTTATTTCTGTTCGAATGAAATGCATTAACTTATTTAAAGGTGGATTATCACAGTCTGTAAACTGTAAACCTTGTATTTTGAACGACATGATATTTAAAATATGATACTAATGAATTTCTATATTACAAATGTTTAGTTGTTAGCTATAAGACAAAACCATTTCACCTAACATACATTTTCTTTTAGAAACTTCCTACTTATAGCATTTTATAGTAAATTCTATTCATAAGCAATCAAATTCAAGGGTAATGTGAGGAGTGAATGTAATACAATTTTATCTAAACAACAAATAATACGCAGTACAGATATCATCATAACAAATAACAGTGTAATAGAGAGACTTAATATTCTAATAAGGTCAAACAATAAGACGAAAATTTGACTACGTCAAAGAAAATGTTACACCATGTTAATAGGGTATGAAAACTATTCGAATAACATTTATACGTATACGAAATCTGTATTTAAAATTAGCACAATACAAAATTTGTTATACCTTATTTTATTAAAACAATAGTGAAATGTGATAGAGTACTATCTACAACTCATTATATAGTAAAAATTTGAAAATAGGAGGATATGCTTGATAAAAGCGAATAATGGTTTTTTCAATCGCACAAAATTCAGAGATGGATAAACATAATTCAATATTAAATATTATGTTTCATTTAAGGCAACAATTCTAACGATCCACCTAAATGAGCATGACAGTATTTTGGATTATCTCTTGATTTTGAGATAAAATAACGTGATGCTGAACAAGACTGACGAGGTCTATTACTTGATCTTGTACGCTCGTTAATTTTATATCGACAACACGGTCTTTCAGTATGTTCAGATGTGCTAAAATCACTGTTGACATTAACCTGACAGAGTGGGCATTCTTGACCGTATGGATCAATATGTGTATGACTCACTCGATGCTCTAGTTGTGTTGGAACTGAATAATCTCTTCTACGATTATTTGGTTTCGAAATTTCGGAATTAGTGATACGTTTTTGTTGATATTGTGAATGGTTATTATAGTAGTAATCCATTGCTTCAATACCAAGCTTCATTTGGATTACCTTGGATCGGTGCTTTTCACATAGATTAGAATGAACTGGATAATATTTTAAATTGCATTGTGGACACACAGCATTCATAGACGGTTCTGATGTAGATGAATAATTTAATCGTTGTAACAGGTCAATATGTGATCTGGTTGCTCTCTCTGATAATAAAGGAGATTCTTTACACTTTAGATTATGTTGACAACATTCGCAATGTTTCTGGTCCGTGACATTTAAATAGTTCGCTTGAGAATTCTCGTACTTATTTGTATTTAATTTATCATTCAGCTTTTTTGATTGATAATGAATCGGTTTTAAAGCATCACATTTACACAATATTCTTGGTAAAATGTTTGTCTCTGGAGATGATTTTCTCAATTCCGAAAAGCAACGTAAAACATTTAAACCGGTTTGTATGTTTTCCGCTAGAAATACATAACAAGTTAAACAATTCTCACCGTTCGCTGATAAACGCGGGACCATAAAATAAATCAACGGCGGACGTAATACTGTGCGATAACGTAATAACCAACTTGTTATTTGATTATCTAACTTGATCAATGCATCCTCAGGAATACAACGACGTGTATCGATTATTCGACGAAAATAAGCGTAACAGTGATCACGATTCTTATTATGTTACCAGTGTGAGCACTATTATGACTAATATTACTCCCAACAGGTGTTACGACTTCAAAGTAATAACAGTTAAAATAGATCAATTGATACGCCGAAAAATCTTCATCCATTTGTGATGATAACGACGATAATACTGATGAATTTTTCGATTTGTCATCCTTCTTTTTATTTCCTTTGCAATCTAATGATTTGATAAGAATATGACCATTTCCAATGGCTAATATTACACTGTCATAATTTTCTGTCATTACTGTTTTATAAGATAAAACAGGTTTGTAATTATTTGGTGATACAGGTGATGCAGTCAGTTTTGAAGACGATATTTGTCGAAGAAATTTCAAATAATAATCAATCAATAATTCATAGATTGTTTCCAGTTCACAATCATTAGATTTTTGAATAGTAGAATGTCCAAGATAACTTAAGGTAAATACTGACATTGATGAAGATGTCATTAAAATATTGATTCTTAATAATTCTGTGATAAATTTAGAAAACTCAAAACCTGAAAGTGAATTAGTGTTGATAATCCTTTGACCAGCTTTAGCCCTTTATTTACTGATTAGATGTGATATCTGTAAGACATTTAGCTTATTTGCATAATCATATTGGTTGACTAAACATTTTATGTACACAATTAACACATAACATTTCGCATTAACAATTATAGTAATCACATATAGATGATGTTAAAATATTTAGAATGTCATTGGTGGATAGTTGTTACGTTATTCAGATGAGATAGATCATGAGGTAATCTTTATAAAGTCTTTTTACGACGAACCAAATAGGAGGAAAGCATAACTCATTCTAATAATTGAAGGGTTTTCATAAGTTCAAATCATACTACCTAGGGTGCTGGCTCAATTCTAATTCAAATATTGTAGAATAAAAAGAAATATGAAGATATTAAATAGACAGTCTTAATATGAAACTCTAAATAACTCTTATAAATAATTTAACTGTGGATGGTTTATAATCACATCGTAGATACGTTCATGTGTGATAAATTGACAATAGTTTCAAACCAAATTATTGCGTTCCTCTGAAAACTGTGTTACAGTGTTGAGACTACTAGTTTTGTTTGCTTGTGCCAAGGTCCTTTTCTCCGGATCATACACCTCCATTTTGATTACATTTATTCGTGTCAAATCCTCTTCACTTGTGTATACATATATAGTGGTTGGTTCAGCCATGATAGAGAGTGTAGTGGAATATCTTCGAGATAATTTCTAAGGTTTCTTATATCACTCATCCAGATAACTGTCACTATATAACTCCCAACGGTGCATAAATCCCAAAAGACAATACGAAGCATTTATCATGGTTTATTAGTGTACAGAACATATGAAAAGTTCACATGCACACAATGCGGATGCACATAAATCCCAGTGAATCAAAGCGAATATATATATATATATATATATATATATATATATATATTGTTTCGGACAGGTAATCAACTATATGTTTTTTGCATTTCTAAAATAGCTATTATCTTGCAGTTAGCTGCTCAACTTTGGAGCGACTTAATGCGTCATATTCTTATGGCTATTGGACAGAACATTATTTCTGAGTTAGCAGGAAAGATTATCCATCTTGACGTATAATCAGTTCATATTCTTAGCGTTTTAAGCGGTAAATAAATCCCTAAAACTAATATCTCTGAAAGTCTTCAACATTTGATACTGACCGCATTGGTTTTAATGGACTCACGTAGCTGAAGGCGCTCAGTCACGCATCCACACCATATCACAAGTGTGTACGCCGTGCTTCACATCTCCTGCAGCCGCTAGAGAGCTCAGATTAATCACTTCTCGACATATTGATTTTCTATCTAATATATCTTCGAACCTCATCGCTTCTGACTTTTAATTCCACTGGGTTGGTACATCTGGAATATAAAAGTTGTTACTAGTTAAGGTTTAGTCAAACTCCAAACACTTGTGGCATCTTTACATTTCAATAATCTGATGTCCCTAAGTTGATCATTTAATTGTTTTTATTATAAATGTCTGCATCCACCGGCGAAAGTACTGTCCAAGTATACCATCTTTACTTTTAGCCTACACTCAATTTATTAATATCACATCCATCTTATCTCTATGAGCTTTTATACGTTCATGTACCAAACTTATCGCCAATTGTCGATTTTTGCTATCCTTGAAGTACGTCACTAAGTCATCTTAAAGTGCCCGTATATTGAGATTCATAGTTTTTTGGATTTTTTGAGATACTTAAAGACCCTAACTACTAATTATCGGTTGTACCGTTTTTAACATCGTTAAAAGTCATGGATATCCACTTTTCTGACTCAATGACGTGGGTTTATTTGTGGAAATAGGATGTTCCATCACACCCATCACATGCACGGAAAACATATGTTTTAACGCATTTGACGTCCTACTGTTATTGAGTTCTAGATTCAGTTATCTGACTGTTTTCTCTTTATTTTTGATCAATGTTTAATGTCGTTAGATTTTTTTCAGGAACAATTTTAAATAAATTCTACCTCTTTACTTAAAAGCTGGTTTACGTTTCTTCTTGTTCTTTTTTAATCCCCACTTTCTCACTTATTCATTTAGTGAACAAAGCACCAAAAACCTAGATGCCAACTTATATATAGGTGAACATTATAAAATCGTGAAATTCAGATACGTCTTGGAACGGAATGGCTGAATTATGTTCTCATACTTGTTTCTTGGTCTGAACACTATGGAAACAGTACAAACGTGTATTACCATTCCGACATTTTAATGTCTCAAATACTGTCTGGAAGCAAAAATGAACGGAATGAAGTAAAAATAAAGACCGTTAAAGTCTAGGTCTATCTACTTCGTTTCCTAAACAATGTTGTCCTTATCATTGGTTCGACCTCAACACTGAAAGCTTCACAAACAACATCGTATATATCCGTGATTTAATAAAGTTTTTAATCCAACTGCCGTCTATGACACAATTCTGTGAGAACAAATACAAGGGTTATTGGGAGAGTTTTCTATATGTGGACCCCCTAGGGTCAAGGATAGGTCCATTGAAGGTATGAGCTTCTAGAAATCGCAACCTTATGTCCCTTTAGAATATCCAAGGCTTTAAGGATGGTGCAGGATGAAGTCACCCGTTCCATATCTCAAGGGGGCTGAAAGAGGGAGCAAGTAAAAGAAAACACGAGGGGCAGAGTAGCCAACATTCATGAAGGAATGTTCAAGGTATGATTACTCAGTCTAATTTTCTTTTATTAAGGTATTTGTTAAGAAATCGCATTTTAATAGGTTAAAGAAAATAAGTGATAACAAGGTGTGAGTGGACATACAACTGACAAATGGAGGCGATTCGTAAAGGAGCTGAAAGTATGGGATTATTTGTGATTATAAAATAAAATCTAGTGCTAGAAACAGTATTGTGATATACAATTGGCTATCTTCCTTTTATTATCGAAGCTATTAGAGCCCCTTTCGTTTTTTTTGTATTATTATTTTTTTCAGGTATTATAGGGTCTTGAGTAGGCTTCGTATATTAGCGAATTGTCTAGTTTGCTTGTAATAGGATTTCTGGGTAGGAAGTGAAACCAATTCAACGTTCGTAACACGATTTAAAGAGGTATTTTGCGTGATAAATCAGCATCAATACCATAAGTTCGTGACATCCCACTAAAACATAAGGAGCCGTAATTAAACAAAATGTTCTGCCCTACAGACATGGGTGGATTGAAGTTATCTCCCCACCTTCATGTTTGCTGGTCAGTAACGCCACCCTCCCTCCTTTTGTGATGTTAGGCTCTCTTACGTTTGTGGTAAGTATGAATACTGCTTTAATCAAAGCCCATAGTTGGAATACACTGTCTCTACTAGGTCCATGTTACAAGCAAATCAGATAGTTGAAAAGTCTTTTTTTGGGTTAGATGTCCATATAGTATATCACACTACTATGAAAATAACTAATGGTTTAAAGAAGTAAGGACTAATAGCAAATCAAAAGATATGAGAGGGTATAAAATTGTAGAAAGAAAAAAAAGATTTCAGGGTAAGACAAATAAAACATTGAGAAACTCACAAGACTTTGTGGGCAAATTTTGAGCTTTGTATGATCGGCCTTAGTAGATCAGCATCCATAAGGTTGAGCTATCTGTCTAATTGCAGTAGAAAAAAAAAGCATGACTTTTAGGAAGAATAATGTACATTTAACCTGTAGAGATTTGGGGACTGAAAGCTAGGGTTAGGAGCATGAAGTCATGATTAATAAACAATGAATAATAGGAAAGGATAGGCCATATATTCTGTGATTTGGTTATATTCATATTAGTAACAGTCGAACGTGTTATAATTTTGTTCTTTCTAGATACTAGGCGGTCCGTAATAAAGTGCCTCATTGGTGGGCGGGAGTTCAAGGAAATGTTGAAGCTCTTTGGAGTCTAGAAATAGGGTTATTAGCTTTTTGAATCTGGTAAACGTATCACAGTTACGGATAGGCATTGGCAGCCTGTTCCACAATAAACTGTACCGTACTGTAAAAAACTTACAACGCATTTGTTTTTGGTGTTTTACGGTAAGTAGTGTATATGCGTTGTTTCTAAGTCTATAGGCTGGGTCGTGGGTGATAGTCGGGCAGGAGGTTAGAAAGGAGAGCCCATATATCGCTTTGTAGAGAAATATTAAATTGTTTTTTAGCCTACGGTGCCATAAAGGTTCTAAAGATAGATGCTTACATCTTTCTGTGTAATCGAGATTCGAGTTACATCCTAGTAGTTGACGTGTGAAACGTCTTTGAACATCTTCTACTCTTATCTTGTCTGCGATATTCATATTAGAGAAGACAAAAGAGCAGTATTCAAGGGAGGGTCGTACACATATTTTGTAGAGAGTAAGTTTACCCTCTGTTGTGAAAAAGTTTTTCATTATAAAACCAATTAGCCGTCTAGATTTAGAAATAATAGAGGAGGCATGTTCTTCAAAGTTTAGGCTTCCTGTGTAATTAATTCCTAAATCGTGTACTGATTCGAATGTTTGGACTCTACATTCATTTAAGTGAAGTCGCGGTTTATAGGGATGCTTTCCAAAGTGCATGATCCCGCACTTGTTGAGGTTAAATGGTAAT